GCTGTGGAAGGGATTCACAGAAGGCCAGGAAAGGGTGGGGCTGCGAGCTAGGACCTCAGACCTTCGCTGGCTTCAGGACTGGGCTTGGCATCCCTCCGCGGCGCACCTTCCGATGACGCCCCTGAAGGAAACCTGGCCCGGGGGTGCAGTCTGGTGCTGCCGCATGGGTCTTCTCTGTGGTGTGGATCCTCTGGTGGTGCAGGAGGGCCGGGCGCTCGCGGAAGGCGCGGCCACACTGCGTGCACACGAAGGGCTTCTCGCCCGTGTGAATGCGCCGGTGGCTCAGCAGCACAGCGCCCTTGGCGAAACCCTTGCCACAGTCCCCACAGCGGAAGGGCCGCTCGCCCGTGTGCAGGAGCTGGTGCTGGGTGAGGTTGGAGCTGCGGCTAAAGGAGCGGCCGCACTGGGCGCAGGCGAAGGGCTTCTCACCTGTGTGCACGCGCTGGTGCAAAAAGAGCGAGGAGCCCTGGCTGAAGGCGGCACCACAGAGCGCGCACACGAAGGGTTTCTCGCCCGTGTGCGTACGCTCGTGCTGGATCAGGTGCGAGTTGCGGCAGAAGCGGCGGCCACACTGTGCGCAGGCATAGGGACGCCCGCCCGCGTGGATCTTGCGGTGCTGGCTGAGGTTGGAGCCGTGGCTGAAGGCCTTGCCGCACTCGGAGCAGCTGAAGGACTTCTCGGCCGTGTGGATGCGCTGGTGCCGCACCAGTGAGGAGCTGTGCCGGAAGGCCTTGCCGCACACGGGGCAGGCGTAGGGCGTCTCGCCGCTGTGGATGCGCTGGTGCTGCGTCAGGTGCGACGTCTGGCTGAAGGCCTTGCCGCACTGGGCGCACTCGTAGGGCCGCTCCCCGGTGTGGGTGCGTAGGTGCTTGAGGAGGTCGGAGCTCTTCACGAACACTTTGCTGCACGCTCTGCATTCGAAGGACTTCTCCCCAGCGGGGAGAGCCTCGCCCAGCTCATCCCAGGTCGAGGGCTCCTGGCCACCGAGGAGTCTCTGAGGCTCCTGCCAAGTCGGACCCATTC